TGAGAATTTTGTTTTACGTATAATTCATTTGTCATTTGTTATTTCATTCATTTTATAATGATATTGAAGCGATTAAAAGAAAATCGCTCTGGAAAGGTGGTAAGTTACGTGTTGAATGAGGTTAATTATAGCAGTTTTATTTCTCATTTTGTTATATTCGATTTGTTTTCAAACGATTGATGCGTTAAATGAAATTTGAACGGTTCAATTCAGTTGTAATATTTATGTGCAGAATGGATAATCGGAGGTTTTTATGTTGCAGAGACAATGAAGTCTTGCAAAATTTTGATAGAGTATTCTGACTTTCTGAGGTATTTCAGTTTGAAAACTGTTGTTCACTATTAGGATTTGAGAGTTTATTTTGAAAATTGCTGTTTGGTATAGGTATTTTGATTTGTTTTTTGTTTTAATTGTTGATAGATATGGCGATTTTGCGTTGTGTCTCATCATTTTGATTGATTTTGCGTTGTTTCGCGATAGAACGAAAATGTTTCATCAAAAGAGGTAATGTGAAGAAAATTAAAGAGTGGATTGATGAGCAGAGAGCAGATAAATGAAAATTGTGAAGGATTGGATGGAGGATGAGGGATTAGGGCAAGGATGAGTAAGGAATAAGTGAGCAGTTGACAGCGTTCGTTGCCTATGTTCATATATGTTTGTGAGTGAATGACTGTTATTAAGGGTGCAATGAGGATGAAGCTCGTTAGCACTTTTAGTTTAGTGACGTGACAGATATCGTGATTGAGTCGATATCGAGTCGACTTGAATTTGCATTGGAACATTTTTTTGTTATGTTGATTTGTTCATTTGGATTTTGATTGATCGAAATGTATAATATTTGTGTTGTAATATTTTTAATGGGGAATATATGAAGTCGTGAGATGCGTTTGGGTATGTGTGTGTGTGTCCTTGTTTTGTGGTGTTTGAAGTAGTGTGCAATGTTTTATAGGAGGGAGGGGAACCGTCGTGGAATGACTGCATCGGGAATCCTTATTGGGGAGGACGGAGAGCATTTGAACTTGATTTTGATTTGAATAGAATTTCCGATAGTCTGAATAACTGATAAAGGATTGTGGATAAGGAGGAAAGGGCAAAGGACAGTGGAGTTTGGGATGAGATGTTTTGTGGTGGGATTGAAGGAAGGATAAAGCGTGTGCTTGATTAATGAATGAATGTGTTTTAAAGCGTGTTAGTGTCAAAACAGATGAAAAGAAGTTACGGACGTTGAGATGTAAGTTATGGATGAGGACATTTATGTGAGAAGTGAGTGGCGTGTTGGGAATTGGAACATAAAATTGATTGATGTGTCGCATTTAGTTTGTCGCCTTATCTTCATAATTTATTCATTGCATCTTGAAGAGTGTTCATTGAGCTAATATGGTCCAGATTTATATTGGTTTTGAGAGTTTAATTTGTTGTTGTGGTGGTGGCGGTGGAATATAGTGTGGTGCGGGGCGGGGAAAATCAAGGATTTCTGGGAACGGGAAATTTCCTGAAAATGGCCGCGGGTGGAAAAAAGTCAGGGACGGGAAAATAGAGGATTTTCGGGAAGAATTTTCCGATCATCGAAATTCCCCGTAACACACTAGTGGAATAGGCGGAAGATGAAGCAAGGATATGGCAGGTGGAGAAGAGAAGCAGTTTATTTAAAGCGCAAATTTGATTGATGAGTCCAGAATTGGAATGAGTTAGGTTGTTATCTGATTAGTGCGATTATTTATTTGTTTGTTTGGTTGTATTTACTTACTGTGGTTGTCCTTTGAAAGTACCCATATTTCAGTAGTAATGTATAATATGCATTGATCTATAGTGATCAAATGCATATCAATGAGCACCTCAGCGCCAGTTCACATAGCTTTAATCAAATTGCTATAGCTCCTCAACTAAGTCCTTTGAAGGTTGTGAATTTCTGATCTATTAGGTATAGCAGAAAGTTGTCGCGCAGTTGCACCGAAATTTCGGAGTTGTAACTCGCTTCAAAATCAACATTTTTATTCATAATCGGAATGAAAAGCATTCGCTTCCATGCAACTCCGCAATGAAACGCAATGTTCCATTATATGAATGTGCCAGTGTAGCTGCCCGAAAACTTCATGCCACACCTAATAGTTTAGCCTTAGCTTTGGTTAAAAAGTTGCTTGGGATTAGATTTAGTTGTAAGTGATGAATTCATTTAGTATGTTAGTCTTAGAGAAGTGGTAATTTTGTGAACGAGTTTATGAAGAAGATGGGAAGGGGTATTCGAGTACTGTATTGAATGTGTTCGTTGGCATATGTTTGAACGATTTACAGCAGACGGCAGGGATTGAATGGAATTGAAATAATGAGGAGTTTGAGTATTGATAAGAGATGTGATGCGTGACTATTGCTCATGAATTTTTAATGTGAACATGGCTTTTGGAATGTGTGAAGAATGTCTTATGCGGGCTGTTTCAGCCATCTGATTTCGAATAATAGACGGCTTATTCATTGGTGTGCGATTTAATGAGATACTTTTGTTGGCTGAGATATTTTCGGATTCGTGTGGCGAATGATTCAGTGTGTTATTATTGATGTTGTGTGTTATTATGTAATTAATTCAGTATGATATTATGAACGTCTTATTATTATTATTGTTATTATTATTACTATTGTTATTATTATTATTATTATTATTATTATTATTATTATTATTATTATTAACAATGTCTTATTATGAAGGTCTTATCGTAAATATTGTTATTTTGGTTGTTTTCATTATTGATATGCATTGATACGTATTACATTTGAATCATATGCCCTCGTGAATAATCACTGAATATTTATGAAATTCTCAGCTTTATATATATGAGATTCTCGTTCGTTTCGTCTCGTATAACGTTTTATTGCATTCATTGCATCCATACAGCTCAACTGAATGCATTGATGTGTTCGTCTTGTTAGTCTTACGTCTTATTGTACTCTTTGTGTTTTGCGAAAAACAAAACATGATTTTGGGCATCAATCAAATATTGTCAAAAACATGTGTTTAATGTTATGAATTGGGCAGTTTGTTGGTTTGAGAGTGCAGATTATAAATTGTACGAGAGAGGGAGGGAGTGAATTTTGTTTGATGCGTTCATGACTAGAAATATCTATCTTCTCAGATGGATTTTGCAGTTTCAGTGTGAGGTTGAGGTGTTTGTTTGTTTTGAATGTGCTTTTTTGTAGAAATGAAATGTGTTCGCGATTGGTAGTGAAAAGAATGCGACTGGGAGGGTTTTACATGATGACTTGTGTGGATGGTGATGTGGGTGTTTATGTTTTGTCGAGATTTTTAGCGATTGTTTCATTGCTATTATTGTTTTTATTGCTGTTGTTGTTGTTGTCATTGTCAAGTGACATATAAGTAGCACTGAACATTAAATTATCGTGTAAGTGGGAAGGGAACCTAGCAATTGTTTATTTGAGATGTGTTCAGATGCAGAAAAGAGGCNTTTTAAATGAGATATTTGTTTGTTTATTTGTTTTGAATATGTTTTAAAAATTTCTGTTGAAGAGTCTTAGACTCCCAGTCGCATTCGTTAAATTGTTTGGTTTTTAAAAAGTTTGTAGAAATGAGATTGTGCGCGATTGGGTAATGAAAAGAATGCGAGTGGAGTTTGACAATAAGCCTCTTCAAATGCTATTATTGTTGAATTGGATTCCGTTTGGTATCTTGAGATGTTGAATTGATTTGGACTTGGTATCAAATTTGATATCTTCAAGATTTGATATGAATTCATTGAATTGGATTCGGTGTCTTCAAATGCAAATTTGTTGTGCAGGTTTATTGATAGTGATCGCGTTGATAATGCTGGCGGCATTGGTGTATGCCAGACTGCAACGATCCAGTGCACAACGAGTGGAACGTGATATAATGCTGACGCAAAGACCGACAGTGTTGATCGTGTACACGGACGATTGTCTGGCGCATTCGAACTGTATTCTAGCATTCGCTAAATTGCTGGAGGATGTGGCCAATGCAAGAGTGCACATTGATCAGCTGGAATTGAACACGTCGGGTTGGTGGCTGTTTCGTTGGAGTCTTTTGCTGTTTGGATAAGGTTTGGGTAGTTAGGATTGAGTTTGAGTTTGATATGGCTGAAGGTGTTTGGATTTGATTCGTACGCTTTAGATTTTTAGGTTTTTACTTTTGAGAGAGTTGATCGTGATTGGGATTTGGTATTGGTTGAAGAATATTCATTGAATTGTGTTGCTATTGTTAATTTTCTATTCGTGTTATGTGGAATATTGGGATTTATAACGATAATAATAGTGATGTTATTATTGTATTATAATTGTTGCCATAATTATTATAATTGTTATTACTGTTTGGTGATGCAGTGAGTAATTTGTTAAGGTGCAATCCCAACGCGATGGTTTATCGATACGTTCGCAAAGTGTCAGTTTGTAATTGTGGTGTTCTCGGAAGGCTCTGAAATGGTGCTGAAAGGCGAGACAATGATATGTGAACGACCGTTTCCAGATTTATTCGATACGGCTATAAATCATATTATCTCGGTTCGTTTCATTCAGCCAGTGATTCGTTTGTCTCAATTTTATTTATGTTTTATTTGAAGTGGATTATATTTCATGTTAGGATTGTTGTAAATATGTGTCACATATAATCTATGGTTTAAGGAATTGAATCGTACGGTTGTGTCATCACGTCACTCATCGAGTACACGCTCGCTGAGTGAACGTTTCATCTTTGTGCATATGTCCTATTCGCCATCCTCAGTGATTCCACCCAATATCGCGGCATTTCCCGTTCGTATATTGTCAATTCCATCGCAGGTAGTGAAAGTTTTTTCTTGTTTAGTTGTTGAAGATATTTAGTGATCTCATTTTGTGGTCTGGTTTATGATTTATGAAGGTATTTTGTGGTTTATGATTTAGTTTATGAAGGTATTTTGTAATTAATGAAAATAGTTTTAGATCGGTGAACTGATAGCGAGATTGCACGAACAACCGATTGGATCACAAGTGGTGCATCATGTCGAGAGTGACCGATTGGAGACGGCAATTGAAGAGGTGTTGACATTCCGAAGGGTGAATCCATCGTGGCTAGAGGATCGATTGGTTAAGCAGAACAATAATAAGGTATGTTTTGAGTTTTATGATTGTGTTTGGATCAGATTTTATTGAGTAATTCAGGTGATATTAAGTGAGAAGATTTATTTGAAAGGCGTTGAGTGGGTGATTGATGAATTGAAAGGATTTTTGTGATTCAGGATGAAATACGGAAAAGTGAAGACGTAAAATTGTTACCGATTAGTAAGCCGCATTCGTTACCGACATTCGCCGAGCAGATTCGATTGGCACGTAAACTGAATATTGAACCACCAGATGAAGAGCAAGAGGGTGAACGAACAGGAGCACGGAATCAGGTTTGTACAAATTGTGATTTTGTTCAATATTATGATGTGTCTTTTCACGAATTGATTTCAATGAATTTGAATGAAAACAACGGAAAATCAGTTGTTGAGTTGAATTGATATTACTGATGAAGGCGAAGAAGTATGAATCGGTGTGAATTATCTTATCTAGTGGATAAATAGTAGGTTACTGGAAATATCAGACTGATTGTGAGTGTAATGCGTGTAAGTTGATGAAATTATTTGTCAATATGCGAATGTAATTGTAATCGATGTTGATGTTTTGCTTCAGGAGAGTGGAATTGGAAATAATGATGACCTAGACGCTGCACGTTTTGCCTTAATCGGATCACCCGATGACTTGTCAGATTCAGACTGACGATGGGATTGAAGAAATAATAAATTTGGATTATATTTGATGCATTTTGTGTCTTTGTAATATTGTTTCTGTTCATGTTGATGCGGTTATTTATTGTTTTTGCGGTTATGTGGTCGTTGAGTTGTTAGTATCACTGATTTGGAGGGGAGGGTGAGCGATTGGAACCACTGTTCGATTTTATTTTATCGATTTTTTGATGGTATTTGTTGATGCTGATTGATTTGAGTCATTTGTTGTGACCTGGTACTCCTACAGTTTGATCTTGTTCGTGTTGTTGTTGTTGATGTTGCATTAGATGAGTTGATAGTGCTGCTGGATTGATTAGGTAGTTGTGGATTGTTATAGTGATTCGTGTGAGTATCTGTATGTGTGCCTTTCTGAATCACCAACGAATGTGGTTTTGAACTGCATATTGCATCGATTATTTGTTTGACTGTCAGTGAGCATTTTTGTCATAAATTATGAGGGGTTTTGTAAGAAGAATTTATTTGGATTTGGTCATTTGGTTGTTTTGTTATCAAATGTTTCATATTGTATTGTTGTGAGTGAGATTTGGCGATGTTTTGTTTTGTTTTGAATAATTATTCAGTGCTTGTTGCCGTTACTCGTTTGTTGTATTGATAATGTTTGATTATTGTCATTGTTGTCGTTGCGATTTTTTAGTATTGTTGTATTGTGGTGCTTGGATGGACTGTTGAAGCTGGTTGGTTGGTTGGTGTTGTGGGTGCGGTATTCAGTGTGTGTTTAGGCAATCGTTTCTGTTGATTTTTTTATTGCTGGTCGTGAGATTACTCCGCTGTGATTGTGAACTAGCCAGTGATTGAGTTTATTGATGTATGATATCGATGTCTCACCGATCGATCTGAATTACCATTTTGCGATTGGCTTCGATTCC